CGAAAGAGCGCATCAAAATCCATATAGCTAAGGTGAGAAGAATTGTGTGCACACACTGTGTCTCCGAGTTAACATTTTTAAAAATCTCAGTTTTCTTAAAACTTAACTAGCGTTGTATTCTTTAGTTCTGAACCCACTTGGTGATAGATTGTTCGATCTTAAAGCAAATAGGTTTGTGTTGAATTATTAAGTTTACGGTATTAGATACTATGCAGTCGTGGAAGATTTTTAAGTAGATTATAAAAATTCTGCTTTTCGCTGTTTACCTATTCTACGTCCATCACCACATCAAAATGGTTCTTTTCAACATTTCTTTGTAGGTAAATATATGTTTCAGCCGCACATTCACTATATATTGAAGTCCAACTTAACCATTTTATTTTATCAGCTTGGAAAATAAAAATTTTTGTTTTCAATAAATCGCATGTAGCCATTATCTCTCGTTCTGTTGCCCATGTTCCCAAACGATCCATTTTTTTTTCTTTTATATAGTCCGCTCCACTGGAATTTATAAATTTCTCATCACCATAATTAGCATAACTTTTTTCCTTCATTTGTTGTACTACTAACTTTCTGAATGATGCATGCAAATCTTCATGGCCAACATATATGTAACTGATACTTCTAAAATACACAGAAAATACAAGCGACACGACTTGCAGCAATTGATTATTAAAAGTTCACGAATGTTGTAACTTTTCTCTCTCAGTGTTGGTTCTGCAAAGAAACTCTCATTGTCGATTGTTTATAGATTACTCGAACTTAAGGGGATAGGGGGAGGGTGTCTTTCTCTTAGACATACGCTCAAACTTGGCTGGTTAGTTTGTAAAGTGAAATTAGGAAACAATCATCAATGCACTTAGAATCCGTAGGCCAATCTGTACCACATTTGTTACTGGTTCACAGAAACAAATGGAAAATTTATCCCAAATTACGGTGATTGTTGCTATGTAAAACCTCTATGTTAGCACAAAACATCGACAGTGCGTAGATGATTACATTATTTTTAAATAAAATAATTAGCCTTTTTCTATATCAAAAAGAGCTTACACATCTTATTTCTTCCAGTATTTCGATTCTCCAGCAATTCCGAAAAAGTCAATTTCTAAACGTTTTGTTTATGGTTGGCGACTTGATGAGAACGGTAAACCACAGCATAAACGGTTCGACAGATAGCAAGGCAGATTAATGTGTATTTATCACAGAACAAATAAAGAACTTAAATTGATATAAAAAGAACATGAAAGTCATTAAACATGGCCCTACGTACCCCTCAGCAGTAGACAGCCCCATTCTTAAAAATTAGCTTGATCAATGGCCGTAGTTGACACCACCTACTCTTTGATTTTGCTTGGGGGTGGCAATAGCCGTAGTTGACACCATTAGCATGGCCCCAGAAGTTGCAAACCGATAGCCTTCAGGATTACGCACCCCTCAGCAGTAGACAGTCCCATTCTTAAAAATTAGCTTGGTCAATAGCCGTAGTTGACACCACCTACTCTTTGATTTTGCATGGTGGTGTCAATAGCTGTGGTGTCACTGGTGGTGGCAATAGCTCCTTGTTGACACCACCGGTGGTGGTAATAGCTCCTTGTTGACACCACCGGTGGTGGCAATAACCATTCCGTTAATTTTATTTGTGCTCGTGTCTTTGTTTATATCAAGAGAGATGTTAAATTTTTAGTTAAGACGTTTCTTCAAAGCTAACTCTGGTAAACTTCTTGTGTTCTTAGCCTAGCCATTTGGTTGCTGGAAAACCCGACTTTTATTTTCGGCTCTTTGCTTTTTCGAAAAACAAAAGTCTTCAGCGTCGGTCTCGTTGTTGAAGACTGAAGACTTGTGAACTCCACTTTCGCTCATAACTTTCTTGTGGAAACCGGCACGATACATTACATAATAAACATTTTACTGCTTTCTGTTGTAGATACCAGTGACTACACAGCTCACTACTGCACAACGTCCGTCACGTCACGACGTAAAATGTTGTTTATTACATTTTGGAGATAAAGATTACAAGACAGTGCCATATGATGAATGTATCTTTGACGATGAAGACGATACTGTTTCATATAAACATCGACATGATTTAAAGTTAATTACAACAGGTTAGTTTATTTTCTTTCCTGCAATTTTAAGCATTATCTATTCAATACTCTAAGTATTCTGCAGCACTGCTCTTCGTTAAAAAAATAGCTTTTCTCTACTAAGTTCTAACGCCGTTTCTAAAGAGTTTATAACAAATAACCACACATGAAGAACCACGACGTTATACTAATCGAAGTTTGCAGTGATCCGCTGTTTGTTCAGACTCTAATGTTGTTGTATTTGTACGTTTAAGTTTGAAAAACGAATTGAAAAACGAATTGAAAAAAGCACTAAAAAAATATTTTAAACGTTACAAGTGACTTTGTGTATGAAAATCGAGAAACTTCGAACGAAAATTTACCAATTTCAACACAAAATCAACAAGTGAAAAGTAACAGAAGAAGTACCTTCGGTTGATTTATATCTTACTTGTTTTTTTTCTGTTAGTCAAGAAACTAAGAAGAACAAAAAAAGCAGATGGAACTAATGTTGGTGAAAAAGTATAAAATAATTAATAATTTAAATTCCCTGTCGATTTTCTGGCTTTCTATAAATTTCTGATTTTCGATCAACTGAATTTTCATTTTATTCAGAAAATTGCCGTAGAATTTCCAAAAGTATGAAAATTCGGCGTCGATTTTCTAAGATTCTAGAAATTCGATCGATTTTCTATAAATTCCCAAGATTATTGAAATTCCACATCGAATTTCTAAAATGTTAGGAAATCGGCTTCGAATTTCAAGAATTCTGGAAATACGAGGTCGAATTTTCAAGTTTCTTGTAAACTGGATTTTCTAGAATCTAGAAAATATTCAGGGAATTTCTATATGGACTTTTTGAAAATCGCCGAGCATTTTCTAAAAAAGATTCCCAACATTACAGTGTAGAGGGTGTAAAATCTCGCGGGCGGAAAAGCGTAACAGTAGGATTTAAACAGCAGGATATGCTTTTGCTTTCTTTATTTCTTTCTAGGTGCATCAGCGAAAAATGTGTTAATTTTGTCGAAAGAAAATCAACTGTTCCTGCCATCACCGCAACCTCGGAAGACGATCCTCCAACTACTTCTTTTACACCGTTTTTAGCTCTTACTCAACGTCAGCAACCTCATCGTATTGTATCACCATCCCGTGTAATTACAACAGCAACTCATCACCCATTAACACAAAATTTACTACAGTCATTTAGTCAAAATCTAACTCCGATTGCATTAACGACACCATTCTTCTCTTCATCTCAACCACTGCAGCAACGAGTATCAAAACATTCACAAATTAATTCAAGAAAACGTTCAGCAGTTGTCACCAGTACACCGGCTACTCCTTCCAGTTCTTCTTTAACTTCCACCGCCACTGCAACTGATCATATTTCAAGAAAAAAAGTTAGAGTCTATGATGATTAGCAATTAAGTGAAGAATTTTTAAATGGTAAATACTGAATACCTTACTATTCTTTTGTAAAAGGATGAGCATTGATTTTGCTTCTGACATTGTACACCCACAATAATTCTTATACTGAATCTCCTTTTTTTGCTTTATTTGCTGCATATGAGGGTTTTAGAAAACGATTCTGCGCAAAAAAGTTATTGATAAAAATAAGAGCGATTTCGAGAGCTTTCGAAAGAGTCTTGCGTCGAAATTTGCAGCGCAATTAACACTATGTTCGCTTGTCGTTTTCTATCTGTTTTGAAATAGATAAGTTGTTAGAAGCTCGTTTTAAACCAATCGAACGTTCCTTGTTACATTTACAAACAAAAATTTCAATAATAGAAAATCACGTCCTGGCAAATTCAGAGGTCATGTCAAATCTAAATATGTTACATGTTCAAATTCTTTCGAATATTGTCGAATATTCAGATTTCAATATTGTCCAAGTAGTCGAATATTCAGATTTGAATATTCTCTAACTATGGTCAGTCATTCTTATAAACCAGAGAAGCAGACAATCAGATAATCTCATGTGTCAAATAGTCAGACTTGAATATTCTCTAAGTATGGTCTATCTTCCTTATAAGGCAGACAATCTTATATGTCGACCAATCAGATAATCATTTATGTTGAATATTCGGCTTTGAATATTGTGTAAGTATGGTCTGTCTTCCCTATATAGCAGAGAAGCAGACAATCTTATATGTCGAATATTCAGATTTGGATATTCTCTAAGTGTGGTCAGTCTTTCTCATAATGCAGAGAAGCAGGCAATGAAGTAATCTTTTATGCCTAATATTCACGTTTGAGTATTCTCTAAGTACGGTCTGTCTTCCTTACAAAGCAGAGAATCAGACAATCAGATAATCTTATGTGTGGAATGTTCAGATTTGAATATTATATAAGTATGGTCAGTTTTGCTTATGTTGCTTATGGTCATTTTTCATATATTTACCGAGAATTTGGTGTGTTTCTGACTTAAAATGGCTGATATACGGCAACTCTAGTTTTGACAGGCTTCATGCAAAAATCCGTTTTTTCATTAAAAATACCCTGGTGGCCTTGGATCAACTTCTAGTCAAAAACAAACACTGCCACGTTGATCAGCACATTCGGTAACCTATGTTTCAAGTCTTTCCGAGATCTTCCGACGTGTCCGGACCGAGTTAACGTGGTCTCCGGAGAACCTTTCTAGCTCCGGAACCTTGTAAGCTAACGGCCTGAGACTGCTCTGGAAACGAATATCTCAGTCCGGGCTACCTGTCTGTCGTCTCGAAAGTTAAAATCCAAAACTTTTTCATTGGTATAACATCTTTTAAATATCTTCGCAGGGTGCACCACCTGCAGGTAATTTTGGGGCAATAATTTTTGGTTTTTCTTATTGCCCCAACATTTTTCTTTCGACTAGTGAAAACCGCAGCTCCGTAGCTACATCCTAGAAAAAGTTATTAAACAAATGGCCATGGCCTTTCTTTTTTGAAATGGATAATAGTAAATTTAAGCAGCTAGTGCACACGTTTCTGTATATATTCTTGAAAATGAACTTGAAAAAAAGCTCGAAACGTTGAAATATATTTAAATTTAAATTTAATTGATAATTTGAATAAAATGAAAACCGCTGCTGTTGATATAAGCTATTTATTTGAAAAAGTAAGAAATCAGCAATTTTTATACTATCTCTACCCACCGAAAGAGAGACAAGCTCCATTATTATCGGCGATAGAGAAAAACAAGAGCTACGCATATTGTGATAACAATTTAAGGATCTGGTAAAAGAAGAAAGAAGAAAATAAGATAGCAGATGGAGAAAAAGAATGTACATACACGTTTTGTAGTATATATATATGTTCCCGCATGGTTGTATGATGATACAGGGAGAGAGAAAAAGACAAAAAAAACAAAAAAACAAAAACGAAAAAGTGAAAGTAATAATCAAGGTCTGTTTCGAGACTAGAAAGCAAGCAAGAGCGAAAAGAACAAGGAAAAGAGAAAGATAAAGATACTATTGTTCTTCTGAAAAACGTTTCGAAGTACAAATATACTCTATGACTGCATGATATATACATAAAAAATCTTCTCTCGAGAGCGTCACATTTAATAGAAGGAGATCAAGACTGAGGGTAAGGGTGTTTGTTATCGTTGAGATTTTTTTTATGAGAGTTATTCTTTGAGCGCGATATAACACACAATCCAAAAGGTAATGCTGAACAGTCTCTAACTCTCCACATTCGCATGAACTTGTCGAAGCCAATGATTTTTTGCATAAATCAGCTTTCAAAACAGAAAATTTAACCCGAAGTCTACTGTATAGCACATCAATAACTCTCGGGATATTATGAACACGAAAAATAGAAAAGAAACAACCGTAGTGAGTGAGAAGCTGTTTTTGGAAATTTTTTGAAGACGTGATATTTATACGTTGGGGTAGTTTTAACCAAACCTGGGTAGTAAATGGGAAGAAGGATCTACCAGCTGTCACTGAATCGAAGGAAAAGCATCTAAACATTGCACATTTTCGCAAGTTGTATGGAACGGTCTCCCTACTTTCAATACAGGAAGTGAGATACGCAGGTGCTTCGCCTCTAATTATTTTCCGAAACAATGTTAAGGCCCCCCTCCCCCTCAAAAACCGATCTCAGCCCTGATCAATACAAATGGGCTGAAATTTGGAGCATATGTTGGGGCTGAAGTGCGAAGGCTGTGGTAAAATTTTCAGCTCGATACCTTGACATTTGACAGAGATATGAGCAAAACACGGGTCAAAAATAGGTC